TATGTGCACAGGAAGGTGTGGAGAAGATTGCTGAATGGATAGTTTATAACAATGATTTCCAACTGGGGTTACGCATACCCATAGGGTGATACATACTTTGTGGTTTAGGGGTACACAAAAAATTTAATAATGGCAGATGTACTATAAGAATATTCAGATTTTGGCAACATCACAGCACTTGATGCTTAGTTTTAAATAAAAACACAATTATGTTGCTTGGGAGTGCAGCCCTAAGCAGGTGGTAAACTCCACCTAAGACTAAAACACAATTATATTTTTATTATATGAAAGTCATTCTAAAAGTAAAGAATGTTTGTTTCTCTAGATATTTTTATTTAAGATAATGAAGCAAAACTTATTTTACAACACATATGATACCTTAGCTATTTTTCTACATAGTTGCCATACAAATTTAAACATTTGTCATAGCATATCACCAGCTTTTCTATGCCTTCTGCACACTCAGTTACCGCCAAGTTCTTGAACCAGTCATTAACGGACTCTTTCAGTTTGTTGTCACTTCCATAGTGATTTTTGGCCAAAAAATTCTTCAGTTTTGGGAAAAGGTGGTAATCACTGGAACCAAGTCCAGACTATAAGGTGGATGTTCAAAAACTTCCCACTTAAACTGCTGAAGCAAGTTCTTCGTCAAAGCAGCAGTATGCGGTTGTGCGTTATCCTGAAGAAGCACACTGCCTCTGGACAACAATCCCCGCCATTTGTTTCAAACTGAAGTTTCATTCTTCACATTACCATAGACCTTGGTTTTCTGTCTGTAAATTTCGATAGGGCAGACTTTTTTGCATTCAAAAAGCGTATTACACTACGAACCTCACACTTGGTGGGATCTTTACTTTTGTCACACATTTCAAAGTCACACTATAAACAATAAACAATTGTTGTGGCTTGCTGTTAGCATCAGTCTTGTGTGAAAAAATGGGAAGGTCCATGACACAGCAGTGGGGGTGGTGGGAGAACTACGTGGCTTGTCAGATCAAAATTTTCTTTTCTTTTCTTTTAGAATGACTCTCATATTTGTGTGTCCTTCCTCCAACACTTTTTGATTAAAAAAAACTTTTGCATGTAATAGTACAGTGCTATATAATTAACCAAGGCACTACTGTTTGACAAACACGTGAAATAAAACTTACTGAACATTATATTGTTATAATCCTGTTTTGGCATCCCAGAATGAATTTCCAGTGACTAAGGATAACAGTTTGAAGCAGAATTATTCAAGGCCCTAACCAGACTTTTGGGAATAGACAAAATACACACAGCCACTTTTAACCCTAAACCAAATGAAATGGTGGAACAATTACATCGACCACTCAAGGCAGCAATAAAAAGTCATATGACAGAACACTGGGTGTATGTTCTGCCAACCATCTTACTGGTATTCTGCTCAGCATTTAAGGATATAGGAGCCACAACAGCAAAACTTGTATATGGAACAGCCCAATGAGTATCAGGGGACAGAAATCAACAAAAGACACAGATCCGAAAGAGTTTGTAGACACTTAGGGAAGTCATGTGATGATTACAACCAGTACCAGCAGCTAACCATACATCCTGTAGGACAACTTTCATATACAAGGACCTACAGAAATGTTCACATGTCTTTGTACAGCAAGACTACATCTGTAAACTGCTGCAACCAACTTAAACCACTTATCAGCTTATAGGTTAATCAGAATGGCTGATAAGTGGTTTACAGTTAAGATTAAAGATTGCGAGGTCATGGTCTTGATTGACTGGCTGAAACCTGCCTTCATTCTAGGAGAGACAGACAACAGCATGTACTGGACCACTCAAGCAAACATGTTCAGGGAGAAAAGTGCACTTCCCTGCACAGTTTTGAGTCTGACGACACTGGAAGGGGAGTGCTGTGGCAGCAGAGATTGCAATCCTGGTGAGAGGAAGGTTGGCAACACAAAAAGTAAGAAACTGACATCACGAGATGACAACAACACTTACTTACTCTGACTTGAGGATGACGGACATGAACCACGTGTTTCCCACTTTTGGTGCAGAAAAAAGGACTAGACTCATACAGAATGGGGTTTATGTACTTCACTGTTTGTGTAAATGTCACTTCAAATACCAATGAATGTAATCACAAAATTTAGTGAAGAATTGACTTTGGAAAAATAAAGTGACTACTGAGTATAGATTAAGTGTAGTGGGAATCCTTATTGTAATAATTGAGATCAAATCACTTCAGATGATTTTAACTACAAACTTTGTATAGCTACACCACTGGTTTGTGAAATCTATCTTAATTTTTAATTCTAAATAAATTGATTAAAAAATAAAAATGTAAATAGATCCTTGTGCCACCAACTCCAACCAACCACCAAAAATTGTAATTACATTATACTGTATTTTTTTTAATACAAAAGAATCTTGTTTTAATGGCTCACTCAGGCCACCGAAAATCATTCATTGTTCCGAGAATCTGATATATCATGAACAACAGATTTCCCGCACACCCAGGAAAATATTCATTATTCAAAAAATTCCTGTTTTTTAACCCCTATATATAAGAAATACTTGAAATTATTCAGTCTGTTGAGATCTCTACTCTTTATTCTATAGAAACACATATGTTTGTAATGTATGTATACCTCGTATATTACGCTGTATATGATTGTATATTATGCCATATGTGTATACAACAAAGCTGACAAAAATTATACATACTGTAAGCATAAAAAGAAGCAAATTACATATTATATTAGCACTTTGCTTGACTTCATAATTTGTTAAAAAACTCATCCATTTTGGTTTCTTTTGTGTCGCTTTTCTATCTATATATATAACNTGGCGCAGGGTCGGAGGAAAGTAGTTCGGCTGCTCATCCACTATTGGTCCAGACTCTATCAATCTTGTCGCGAAACGACGTTATAGGAGGTACGTTTTACGAAAGTTGCTACAATTTTTTCGCTACGTTATAGGAATTGTCGTTATAGGAACGTACGTTATAGGGGGGTCGACTGTATATATATAACTGAGTTCGATTGTACCATCATTACCAAAGTCTTTTTGCAATATTTCTGACATTTTGTATCAGTAATTCCATTGCAAAAACAAAATATAATGCATGTTCTTTGCTCAATTACACTCAGCATTTGAAAAATTGCTAGTACAAAAATTCTTTGCACACAAACGAAAACAGACTATGACATATCAAATGATAAAAAAAATAAAGCAGCTGTATTTTCTTGCACATGTGCATTTTAAATGAACCATTACCAATACTTTATTTTATATACAGGGTGTAACAAGAAAGATGGTTACAACTTTAAGGAGTGATAGAACATGGCAAAAGTAACAATTGTCATAATACAATGGTTAGTGGAATGTGAAATGTGAACATGGAAACACAGTAAGTACAAAGAATATGGAAAATGAAATGTTGTTTTGATCACAGATATTTACAAGAAATAATGTTTTATATTTACAAGAATTGTTCAAATGAGTGATCATGAGATGCTCTTGTAATTTGATTCTCATGAAGCGCCTAGTTGACCCAATGTATATCCCTAATGGGGACAACAGATATGACAAAGACTGTACTTAAAATCGTTGTGAACCAAGATTGCCAAGAATTTTCATTTTCATTTTGTTTTTCTTTGAACACTGGTCAGTGATTTATAGGGTACATTGTTGACTATTCTCTGGTGTTGTGTGTGATTGTCTACTATTTAGTGATGCCAGATAAAGTATATTATAGAACATTCATAGGCCTAACTAAGGCCAGAGCTCAACTTGAATTCCTGATGGATTGTAAAAAGAACAGAGTCTTCCCCACGTTGTTTTTTCATATTTGTCTCCACCTGGTAGTAAATTTTCCTTAAGAAGATGAAGCTGATGTGCTTGAACAGAGCCATTTGTTTGTCCAGGAAGCAAGCTTATTCTAAATTGGCAAAACTTATAGAAATTGAAAACACTTTGTTCCTCCAGAACCCTGGAATCTTATCAAGTGAGAACATCAAGTTTGTTAAAATCCATGATAGGCTAAGAGTCAACCTGAAGAGACATTACCATAAAAAATTCTTGTGGATTTTATGTTTTCAAGTTCCCAAGGGTTGCAAAAATCCCTCCCTCCCATTTGTTGTCTGGGATAGCCTACTGCTACTGGATTTTGTAATGGAAGTTTTGAAATATGGTCCAGCATTTGCACGTCCTCCTCCTAAGGCTGACACAAGGAATCTCATCCCTGACTTGGAGATCCTCCTGCAGGGCTTATGCAACAGGCAAAAGGAATACTACCGGTGGATGGCCATGCTCAGAATTAAGAAAACTGAGGAGTCTTCCGAAGTATTGGAGCTGAGGGGAAAGCTATGTTGCACTAGCCATTGGATTCAACAGAACAGGGTCACTCTAGTCAGGGCTGACAAAACCAAAACTCTGGTCCTTGTGAAATGCGACACCTACAAATGGCACTTACTGGATTACATTAGACTGACCTAATGTGATAGGGTGGATGACAGCTATGTCGATAAGCCTCAGTCTAGGGTTAAGTGTTTTGCCTGTACCAAACTGGCTGACTGCCTCACTCTTGGTAACATCTTGGTTACTTCCCTGATGTCCCTACGCTGTTTGCCTTTGTGAAGACCCATAAACAAGGGCAACAATTCCGTCTGGTATTCAACAAAGCAAGAGCACCTATGTGTAAGCTGAAAAAGTCCACACACACCCTGATCACTCCCCATCTTGAGGGGTACCCTTATAGCATTGCTAGCCCAGTGGAGCTCATAACCCTTTTGAAAGATGTTGTCTCCCCCCAATATATCACAGTGTTAGACTGTAAGTTTCTCTACCCTTCTATTGAGCTTCCTTCAGCCTTTTGTGCACTCAGAGACATCCTATTTCATATTGTTGATAATGACACGTTACACAAGTTTTTGAGATGGCCCACTTAATATGCTACTCGTATAATTTGTTTTTCCAGTTTAATTGTATAGTCTTTACTTGGAAGAGGGGAACTATGTAAAATGGTAGTAAGACAGTTGGAGAGCAAAGTCCATCCACAGTTCCTCCTCCCCAGCATCCTTTTGTACAGGTGGTATATAGATATCGTAATTTTTTGGAGGACAGTGACAGATTTGAAGGCCTTTGTCAATACTATTAATGATAATTCCTACGGGTTGACCCTGGAAGTGGAACAAGCTAATCCCTTAGAGGTCCACTTCCTGGACATAAATGATAGAGTGGAGGAGTCACACATCCGCATCTCTGTATTCCATAAACCAGGTTTGATGCCTGTAGAGTTTTGTGATTAATATTAGTAGGGTTTTGTGACCCCTTTCCATACAAGATTGCAGCATACAAGGCTTTAATAAGGAGGATTTTATGCATTATTCTACTCCTCAAGCCTTTGATGCTGAATTAATGTTTATACAGTGCATAGTCTCTGCTCATGGGTACCCAGTGTTACCCATAGGTTGATTCAATGTTACCACTGTATGCACTCAGCATATGCCCCTGCAGTTGACATTCTGAGAGATAATAAACCCAAAGACGAAGAATGGATCCCTATAATGTATGATGTTTGATGATATAGATATAGTTCAAAGGTGGTAACCAAAAAAACCATACCTTTAAAATTATCCAGTAACTAATTTAATAAAATAAAAACGTTTTAGATCAGCTTTACTGATCTTCATCAGTTACGATAGAACAGAACACTAATACAAAAATTTAAAAGTGTTAAATTTTAATCTTTGAACTACATCTATATCATCAAACTGCACTGGTGTAGGAACCCTAGTCATAGCAGTAAACTCTCAAAACTATAATTTTGTAAAATTGTATTTTTGCAGTAAAATTGTATTACAGTATTGCAGTAAAAGTATTTTTGTAAAATTGTATTTAGTCAGTTTACAATATGAAAAATATTACTGTAATTAATTTTCTGTTAGTTTGCTTGAGGAAAATATTTCTATTAGTTAAGTGTTCCAGTTATTATATGAGTATATTGTAAACTGTTTTTTTTAACTTATTAAATAACTAAAAAAATAAAGGATGTTTTTAAATTAATGCATTTAAGTTAAAAAAATTTTTCTTAAATATATCTTACACTACACTTAAAGAACACAAATAATTAATTATAAGTAGAATTAATAATTTAAAAACTTTATCTTTTACTATTTATTCCTTTTCATAAGTTAGTTATTGAATGCATAGTTTTTTATTTGTGTCATATTCTGAAATTATATATATAGAATTATTCAAGGTTTTGCTTTTAAACTGATATTTTGCAAAAATTCAAACATTATTGTTTTAATTTCTTACTATAAAGTCTTCATAAATAATTATTTTGAATTGCTTTAAAATTGTCTTTACTTATTGATTATAATCATTTCTATTTGCCTTGATATTATAATGAATGCTATAGCAATTTTCTGTGTCATGATTCTTCTGCAGGTGTACAGTGGAAAAGAAAAGATTGTGAAGTGCTGTTGTAAGTCATGCATCATGAAGAAAATCAGTGAAAGATTAGACATAACTTTAAGTAAGTTGAGCATGTCTAGAGAGAGTGACTTTTTCTAATAGTAATTGTCATAATTAATATAAAACCAAGTACTACATGTCCAAGGAGACATAAACATTGAGTGCAGTTTTCATTATTATGAAACAGCAATTCTAAGAGATTTTTCTTTGTTTTTGAACATTTTATTGCACTTTAATTTTCCAATCCTTTTTCTTCTTTATTTAAATTTTAAAAAAAATGTCACTGTAAATTAGTTGAGTAGTTCCAATAGCTATGTGCAGCTTGTGGGACATGCAACGTAATTTTATTTTCTTGTTTTCTGTCATGTGCCATTATACAATCCTAATTTAGCTGATATTCATGCCAAAGATATTCAAACTAAACTTAACTAGTGAAAAGATGAGAATAAACTATATATTTCTAGTTTGCATATTATTAGCATATGTTATTTTTGTACCTGGCAGTTAAGGTCTATGTTGTTACTCAGCAGTTTAAAGCCTGCATCTCCATAAGAAAAATGTATGCAGCCTCTTGGAAACCTACAAAGTTCACTTGCAACCTGCAAACAGAGAAAATTGCTCATCACTGCTGTAAATGAAAAGATTTTGACATATTCTTTGTATGATTTTTTCATGAACAAAAAAGCTTATTATGGAATTTCAATATTTTGTAATTTTCTTTCTTCTACTTTAATAAAAAATTACCACATTTGATTCCTTTAATCCAAAATGCTAGCAGATTTTGACTCCACTATTTATCAGTAGAATGCCTCTTTCTGTTGATCAATTACTACTTTTAAAACTGCTGAATGAACTCTGCAATATATAGTACATTCCAATTAATTGGCATTGTCATTTATTTGGGACATATATTGAAAGACGGAAACAAGATAGATAATATAAGGCATATTTACTTCATTTATTTGGGACACCCACATTCCACCACTTTATTGAGACAGCATAAACAGGAGTATGTAAATGGGCCAATGTTAAAATCTAAACCAGAAGAGTTAGCCACAAAGATGGGTCATATGAATTTCAAAGCTATAGATAGGTGGTCATCACAAAGGAAAACCAGATATGAAATAAAATAAAGGGGGCATATGGTGAAAAAACAGTGCTGACACTAAAAGTGCCGAAAAGTGAAAATCAATTAAGTTGCCTGAAATGCCGCAGAAATTTAGTCCTGTTCAAGTCTACAATGCAGATGAAACAGGACTGTTTTATTTCACCACCCCAGATGGTTTCCTCAGTTATAAACATGAAGTGAAGTATTGTCAGATTAAAAAAAAAGCAATGGATTGCATTATTGTATTATGCTACTGTAATATGTCATGAATTGATATATGAAAGTTATTAGTCATTGGAATGCACACTAATCCTCAGTGCTTTAAGATCTTAGAATCAACTATTTACAATTGAAGAAATGACTTATGAGTTGGATGCAGAACTGCAGAAAAAGAAATAAACACTTTTCAAAACTCTGTTGCTTATCCTCGTGTAGAGTGTTTGAAAAGCATTCATCTGGAGTTTCTTTTAGCTAATACCACATTTCTTTGATACAACTGTTGGATGTGAGAATCATAAGAAATTTGAAAAGTTTATGTTGTGGAAAGCTAGTACAATAATTTCTTCAATTGAAGCAATTGAAGAAAATATCTTAACATTATCTACAAAAGCAGATGAAATTAGTTCCAAGGTTACTACTATACAAACAATACAATATGCCACTGAAGTTTAAGAAAAGTAAATAGTATCACAATTCAAAACTGCATTTCTCATTATGGTTTTAAGACTTAGGTACAGGAAATGTCAGATGTAAGCAATAACTATACTATATAAAAATATAGAATTTGTTTATGAATTACAAAATGTTAGAAATCACAAAGAATTCATAAAAAATTTATTAAAGAAATACATTGATAAAAACCTTTCATGTTGCAGTGAAAATGAGAATTGTGTAGATACAATTTTTGAACAAATTGTTTTGGGGAAACACCTAAAAAGTAAAGAAAATAAGGATAGTGATGGAGACAGTACTCCTGATAAAGACTTAGTGACTAGGAATCCAGAAAATGTATTCCTGAACTAAGACAATAATTTATTCAAGATAGAAATGAAGGAAATTTCATTTCTGTGATGCCTACACTGATTTTGTCCACTTGCATATTATGAAGAAAATGCATCAAGATATGCTCTATAAATTTCTGCAAAAATAATTGTTTTTTTTTTGTTTAATGATTATATTTTAATATATTATTTTTCAATTTAAATTTATTTACATATATTATTTACACTGAATATTAATTATATTGTTTAATAAATGATTTTTGTCTTCATTGTTCTTTTTTTATATAAGATTTTGTCTGTTTGCTTAAAATTTGTTTTATTGGGACAGCTTCTTAATCAGGACAAATTATTCAGGTCCCAGTTCGCTCCAATTAAACAGAATCCACTGTTCTTGCTATTTGGATTGATATATGTATAATTAGTATTACAAGTAGCAAATTTTTTCAGTTGCTGTTTCTTGCAAAATTATATTTATTTAATTCTGTTCACATTCTCTACATAATTGTTTAAAATGCTCAAAGAAGTCACATCTTTGCTCCAGTTTTCTGATATTTTTATTGTAATATGTTCGTAATAATCAGAAAAGTTTTTATTTGCATAAAATTTTTACTATAAACAAATGTAACTATTTATATGGTCATTATTATTTCTTAACACTGATGATAGTTATATAAATAATTAAAAGCATTTGTTTGTATTAAAATATTTTATTGGCATAAAAATTATTTATTTAATACCTTAAGATTTTATTAAAGATTTAAAATTTACTTGATTCAGTTTGTTAGATACATATTATTTGTTGATGGTGATAAAACTTATTTAATTATTGAATATAATTTTGTTTTTTCTAATAAAAATCATCAGAATTTAATTATCAATTTTGAATAAATATTAATTTGAAAGGTTAATTTATATTTATTTAGTCAAGTAATTCTTTATAAATTAGAATTAATATATTTTATTTTTTGATCATTTATAATTAAATATACAGTATATATAAATATTCCCTTTTATATATTTGTATAAAAATGACACTTATATACATATATACCTTGACATATTTCTATTCAAAATTACATCGGTCATCCCATTATTTGTAGTAACTAAATTGGGAATGCAAGGTGCATATGGTTGAAACAACAAAGCAACTCTGCTACCAGTTATATAGGTATACATATAACCACATAATCTCTACAATACTCAGATCACAGCAGATTATTAACTATAACAAGACTCCATTTAGACAGCTTGGCTGTATAAATGGAGTCACTGTTATAAGTTGAAATGTGTCTGTATATACATTTAATTATAAATGATTGAAAAGTGAAAAATAATATGCAAAGTATAAAAATAAAGTGCAAAATCTATATATAATCGAGATGTATATAATGATGATGATAACAATAATAATAATAAGCACAGAGCCCAGTTAGGAGTTGAAAGTTGAAATTTGGTATACAGTTAGAATACATCATGAGAAAATACTAAGGGATATTTCAAAATTCTCCCCTGCGTGGGAGAAAGAAAGGATTAAGGCTTATTCTGAAGAACTGTGGTTCCACTGTATTATTTTAAATGCAGTTTTTTGCATTTTTGACTGCGTTTTAGTAGGGTATACCATGAGAATGTGCATTAAGAAGGGAGTTTTGGAAATTCCACCCCTGAGGAAAGAGGAGGAGAGAGTTAGTTTT